CATTTATAACAAACACCTCACTCAAACAAGTACAATGGCAAGCAAGGGTTCGGTTGACGGAGAACGGGAATCAATCGCTAAATAATCTTAACGCTCAAGCTAAATCGAAAGGTGTAAGTGGTGATTAACTAACAAACTACAACTAAGGATTGAATTCAAGGGATTAAAACACTAGGGGAATGGGATTCACTCAACCAATAGCAATTAGGCAAATAGGGAGGAACAAGGATAATGGAATAGTAAAGACCACATGCAAGACCAACTTCAAACTATATGAAAACAACTCAAATCACTAAGCTTAAATCCCTCATTAACTTAGCAACAAAAGATACATAATCATATTGTAATAAACGTTCATCTCACATTTCCATGTCGAACCAAACATTTCATGCAATCAAGTTCAATAATCTAGGTTAATTACTCCTATCATGAAGAACTAACAAGCAATCCCATATAATCCATTTTAATCACAATCCATCATCAAAACCACTCCCAAACTCACATAATCACCATTAGGTTGGATTTCACCAACCCCTAGCTAAGGAACTACTCACACATCATATTGAAAAGCACAAAATCAAAATCTAGGGTTCTAGCTTGCTCAACAATCATCAAAGAGAAATTCACCAAAAATGGTGCTAAACATTCAACTAGTCACAAATAGGGACTAAGAAATTCAAATAAACATGCAAAATAAAGCAAACAAGAGATTAAGAGTAAAGAGAGATAAGAAAGGTTACTAAATGAGAAACTTCAATAATTTTGGTTGCAATTCTTTTCAAACTTGGAATAATCTTCAAATCAATTACAAAGTGTTTAAATTTGATTAGGAACTAAACAAAATCTAAGAAAATGGGTTTACACCCTAAATAGAGCACTATTAGTAAGCCTTTCTCTTTCTACCATCTCCTTTTCATAAATGAAGCAATCAATCTATTTATATTAGTCCAAAACAAAGGGGGCGGAGAGAACAAGAAACTGCTCTGAAACAGATTGGCACGGACGTGCCAAACACTGCACGACCGTGCAGTACGAGCAGAAGATCTGGAAACTGGAGCTGGCTGGCACGAGACGTGCCACATACGGCACAGACATGCCACATAGTGGCACGGGCGTGCAGCCAAGGTAGAAGCTTCGACGTGCTCAGCTATCTTGCACGGGCGTGCCACCATCATGCACGGCCATGCAACTCTCAGCACGGGCGTGCCAATTGCTGCACGTCGTGCAACCTTCATAGAAGGTTTTGTCAATCTTCAAACTTCTTTGTACGGCCGTGCCAAGCATTGCACGACTGTGCAGAGCCCCACAGGAGGTCTTCAAATGAAATTCAAGCCTAGCCAAAGATACCTCAAGGCCATGACTTCTTACCCAACCATCGGGATGTCTCGTAAGGGTCTAAGCATACCTGAAAATGCGTCAAAACACTAACAAAACCCGTGAAGCATGACAAATATGAAGAAAGTGCGGAAACAGAGCGATAAGTGAGGAAAATAGCTAGAATATGGCAATAAGTGAGCACTAAATCACCCTAAAACCGCGCACTAAAGTACGTTGTCAAAAACCTAGTTGGATTTATGTCTTAAGAGTAACTGTGGAGGCAATCCATCTTTTGAGACAGCTAATGAAGATCCATCGGGATACGAATAAGGATTTACATATGGTTTTTTGCTGATTTGGAGAAGGCCTACGATAAGGTACCATTAGCGATTCTCTTATAGGCTTTAACATGGAACGTCATTTGCGGAAATATACTGACCATCATCAATTACATGTATGGGGGAGCCTGGAAAGATCGAAGAGTTCCCTATTACAATTGGAGTTCATCAAGGTTCTACACTTGACTCTTTTCTTTTTGCTATAGTTATGGACGAATTAACGAGTTGAATTCAAGATGATATACCATGGTGCATGATGTAAGACGAAAGAATGCGTAGAAAGTAAGTTGGAATTACGGAGATGGACTTGGAATCTTGTGGCTCGAAGGCGAGTAGAAGTAAGATAAAGCATTTGGAATGTAAGTTTAGCGGCGTGAGAAAAATGATGCCAGGGGTAATCACCTTAAATGAGAAAATTGTCCAAGGTTATTGGATCTGCTATTTGAAAGGATGGAGAATTGAAGGAGATGCACCTCTTAGGATGAAAGCGGGTTTGTTGAAGTCGAAGCGTCCGACAAGGTTTTTATGTGATCCAGCATGCCTCATAAATTATAGGGTACATTCTATCGAATTGCAATACATGCATTGTTATATAGTACTTAATGTTGGGTTGTAAATCAATGCTTAAGGAGATGAGATAGTTAGGAAGAAAGTAGGGATTACATCGATTAAGTACAAGATGAAGGAGAGTTGCTTAAGGAGACCAATTGAGGCTCTAATAAGGAGGTTTGAAGAGTTGCAAAGTGTTTGGGATCGCGAGGGGTTGGGAAGTCCTAAGAAAACTTGGAAGAGGGTGGTTGAGAGTGATATGAGTGCTTTGGGCATTGATGAATGTATGGTGTTGGATAGGGCGGTGTGGAGGGAGAAAATTCATGTCAACGACGTGTCATGATTGTATATGCTTTTGTTTTTATCTTGATATTTATTTTTGTTGTTTTATTCAATTCGTGTTTTTAAACTTTATTTATATCCTTTGCTAAAATTTTCTTAAACCATTATGTTTTTTACTCTCACGTTTTTACCAATCATTTAAAACTTTATTAAATTTTATTCTTGGCACACTTTTAAAACTCTATATAAGTTTACTTTGATGCTCTTTCTTTTCTCACCTATGTTTCTTTGACATCCTCATTTATCTCAAAAATACCGTGTCATGCTGTGTGACTCTCGGGTGTTTCATTATCACTAAAACTTGACTTTTTTTTATAAAATGGCTGAGTAGACACTTATTCTTTGTCTGGGTAACATAGTTTCTCACTTTACACACCTTTTTTTTAATAGTTTTTCAAGTGGTTATCTTGTTATGTCCTTATTTCTTTGTTAGACATTTCCTTATGACGATTGATGTTAGCCGACCCCAAATCATTTTGGGATTAAGGCTATTGTTGTTGTTGTTGTTGGATGTTTGAGAGGGGTGTGTCGGAAGGTTTATTTGGTTAGGAGAGAGGAACTGCTGGTGTCTAATATGTAGATGATACCTTTTCATTATGTTGTTTTTACTTTATATAGAGGTAAACTAAGAAATTTTATAATGTACTTACTATCTTGTAATTTTTTCAAGTTGATTCAAGTGTTGAAGAATACCTATCCATAGTGGCCTAGCCTGGATTAATCTTCATCAAGATTTGATTGGGGAGTATACAACCTTGGTAACGTGTGACCGTGTGAGATTAAAAATGGTTGTTTAGTTTGCACTTTACACTCAACCTACCGTCTCTCAATTTTCTAGTAGATTGGATGCGTGGAAGAATGTATATTTTTCTTTGAGAGGGAAAATCACAGTGTTGCGTCCGTGCTTATCTATGATTCCTCTTTGCTATCTCTCTCTTATCATAGTAAAGGTTGTAATACGGCAAATAAGATAAAGAATTTCTTTAGGGATTTCTTGTGGTGTGATATTAGTGATGAGGAGAAGAGATCATGTGGTGAAGTTAAAGTTGGCTGAAAGAGAAATGAGGATTATGAGTTGGAAGGCTGGTTATAAAAAATATTATGGTGGGAAAGTGGTGATGGGGCTTTCTTCTTGAATCTCAATTGTTGTAGCATCGTGTAATTCCGAGTTAAGTACAAGTTGGTTGAAGGGTGGGATGTACACTGTGGTTTGTCGGTGACTTCTGATTGCCCTTTGTTCAAAAGTTTATCCGGTCTTCCTCCTGTTAGTTGGTTTCAAGGTGGAATATGGCCATCGCGTTAGATTATGGGAGAATGCTTAGACTTTAGAGAGGGAAACACCTATGTTTTGTGGGTTTTTTTTTTATTTTTTATTTTTTATTTTTTATTATTATTATATGATTTGTCCATTTTACACGAAGCTACTAGTTAGCAATGTTTGGGATCTTCATGATAGGGAAATAAATGAGCCCGTTGTGATTTTTGAGATAGTTGTTGGGGGATACACTGGACACCTTTGCTTGCTAGTCCTTTTTGCTCTACGTTTCTTTGCCAGCAAGCTACCCCCCCCTTCCTAGTCCACAAGTCTTTTGGATGGCCAAGGGTTCTCTTAAGGTGATAGCATTTGTGTGGACCTTGGCGTTGGGGAGAATCCACACTAATGATGTACTTCAAAGATGAAGACCATGGATGGCTATTTTGCCATATGTGTGTATTATGTGTTGGGTTAATACTGAGATTGAAACCATAATTGTAAGATATGTACCAATATTTGGTAGAGGAGTTTTGCATATGGATTGTAAAACTTATCCCACATTGTTTTACATCTGTTGCAAGTTTGTTTTTGGAGCTTTGGGAGGCAAAGGAGAAGAAGATGTTGTGGTGAAAGCAAAATGCTTTTATGGCAGTTCTATGGTATTTGTGGTTAGAACAGAATGCACTAGTTTTCAAGGGAATCACTTGTTGGATAAAATAAGTTATTAGCTTCTTTGTGGGCTAAAGCGGTAGGGATTAGTGTTACCCAGTGAGGAAAATAATAGAATGGTGCTAATATATTGCCTCTGTTATTGTACTTACTGCTATTTGCTATTTTATTAAGAAAAAAAAAAAAACCTTATTTTTGCTGTCAGAGAAATAACAGTGGAGTCGCTATCATAGAGGATCCAGTCTGTGTTTCTATTGTATCTCATTGTATATTGCATCCTGAGTTCATCTTCCTTTGTCCCATGTCAAGAGTCCCATTTAAGTGTCTCTTTGCAGTAGGAATTCATTTCACTAGTACACTGTTTTTCCTTTACTGGTCTTAGTGGGATAGGAGAAGTATGAAATTATCTCATGTGATCAGGTCTGAGAGTAGGATATCGTTGTGCTACTGTTGGATTGTTTATACCCTTCTACATTGAATTTTTCATTTGATGCTGTTCCCTAATGAATCGCTGAAAATCTTCTCTGCAGCCCGTTGGTGTTGTTGGAGTCATAACTCCTTGGAATTTCCCACTGGCAATGATTACCAGAAAGGTCTCAAACTCTCTCATGATTTATTAGATACCTCTAAGCAATTACTATGAAGTATGGGGAAAACCACCTTTAAGCAAATAATTGTTGATCAATTTTTTCATTTTTACTTTTGATTGATCTGTGATAAAGTAACATGTTCTTTTAACATTATCAGGTAGGTCCTGCTCTTGCTAGTGGTTGCACAGTAGTGATTAAACCATCAGAGCTTACTCCATTGACAGCTTTAGCAGCAGCAGAGCTCTCCATTCAGGCTGGGATACCTCCGGTAATTACTTTGGATTGGGTGATTTGTTATCTCTCCCAGCATCTTAATCATACACTCCCTTATTTTATAAAAATAGTCATTGTACTGTAAAATCAAACAAAAGGATACGAGGACTTGCAGTTTCAATTAATACTAATAATTATTGGCACTTCCTGAAAAGTGAAATCTGAAATTACCAATCGAGTCAAGTATGTTGTGCACTCATACTGCAAACACGAATTTTAAAACATATACGTAGAGATACTCTCTTAACCCAAAATTGTTTTAAAACTTTTCATCTATTCTGAATCAGTTTTCATAACTACACGTCTAGTTTGGGATAGAGCCCACCATAATTTTTTACTCTCTCTGTCAGATTAAAAAGTACACCCCAATATCTCCTGTCACATCTACCTTTTCAATAAGATAACAATAGATAAACAAAAAATTTATCACCTAAATTTATGCCCCATGATAAGTGCAAGGACTATGAGAAACAAAAAGATAGTAATTGGTTTCTATTTCAGAGTCAATTCTAAAAATTTGAACATTCAAGACGAGAACTTATCAATTATGATGATTTCCCAAATTACGGACAACAGCACTCAGCTTGAGGAACAAATTCATGATAGAAGAATGTGAAAAGTAAGAGGGAAGTTGATACATGGTACCTGAGTTAGATGAGTCCAAGCCTCCAGAAAATCACAGTCAAATTGGAGTGCTTTCATATGTGACTCTCTGCTCTCTTGTACCCACTAATTGATGATAAGGACAGACCCCAATTATATGATACTTAAGCCAGTCACCAAGAGGAGGAAGAAGACAGACATGCATACAATTTTTTGTGATCCAACATCCATATTATAAAATGAGAAACCACCAAATAAGTGTGCAGATTTATTACCCTTGTCAAGCTGAAGCATGTAGAAAGGTCTTTCACAGCTGAACCAAAATCCTTAAACTTGTAATTAACAATACCTGAACAGCAAACGTAAATATGTATCAGAAACTGCCCACCAAAAACAGTGCTGGGTTTCTAAACTAAGCATTGATGAGTGCAACACCAGTTAGAAAATCATCCATGTACCTGATCAAAATCAGAATCATGATAACTGCATTTCAGAAAAATAAATTTGCATATGAAGATTACAAAAAAAAAAAAAATTCTTATCATAAATAATTCATGTGCTTCAAATGTACTGTAATATCTAGTTCTTCAAGGGCTAAACCTCCAACTAAACGGAACATTCAAAAGAAAAGTGTTTCCAAAAAAACATTTAAAAAGACTCAGCCAGAATCTAGGAACTGGTAGTTTAGCATCTAGTCAAGACTGGCAGCCATGATGGAGCTTGATGGAAAATACAAAAAAAAAAAAAAAAAAAAAAAGGCCCAAGGTTTGGTCTCTCAACCCTTAAACTCATAGCCAGGATTGTACTCACTCTATCTACTGTGATTATCATAGCAGGAGCCTCATCACATGGTTGACAAGAATAGTCATTATTGACTGGAAATGACTAATCAAATTTTGGAGACGAGGTCTCAACTTAGAAGAGATTAGCTTGGTTATTAATTTGTAAATTGTATTACACAAGCCTATAGGACGGAATTAGACCGGCTTATCAATTTTCTGAATTAAAGAGATAAAAGATCTATTATTTATTTCCTTTGTAAATGAGCTTGTCCGCTATATGTTCTCATGATTTTTGAGGACTTTATATCGTCTGGCATATGGTTTCTTCCTTTAATTTAATCAATTTTCCTTGCTTTAATAGTAACATTTTATCTTTTACTTGTTTGGTATATAAAATAATTTTCTTTTAATGAAGCTAGTAACAGAGTAAATTCATAGTAGAGGTTCTTGCAATAAATTACATATTTAATTTTATAGATTATCCCAACTTCCAAGAAAAAGAAAAAGAAAAAATATCCCAAACTTTTTGTAGTCTTCTTTGTTGAATTTTCAAAACACTCAAAAGATCAAACCCATATTGACTTAAATGTGCAAGAAAGAGGCAAAAATATATTGATTGAATTTTTGGTGCTTACAAAAAAAAAAAAAAAAAAAAAAAAAAAAAACATATAGGAGGTTTCAGATCTTCCCTAGAAGATGTTTTCACGTTTACTTTTCATTACAAATCTTAAATTTGGCTGATGAACACTCTATATGATAAATAGTTGCTCCATAATGAACTATTTCTAAGTTTATAATAGTTGCTTCAGAATGAACTGTTCTAAGTTCTCTATGTTTCTGTTTGCATACAAATTAAGGATACTGGAATAAAAGTGTTGATGTGGTGAGTAAATATAAGAAATAAGTGGGTAATGTAAGCAAGGGAATATTAGAAGGTAGCTGAGCGTATGAAAAATGTGGAAAAAGTAGGAAAATTGTTATAAATTCATGAATTCATCCCTCAAATACATATACTCCCTCCGTCCCTTAATGATAGTCCCTTTTGGCCAAATTTTTGTCCCAAAATGTTCACTCCATTTGCTTTTTCCAACAACCACTAATATTAATTTTTCACCAAAATTCCCTCCAACTTGCAACAATATTTGTGCAATTTTAGATTCCTCATGTAAATTTTGCATTTTCATATACTTTTATTACTTTCTCTCTCTACTTTTTTGCATATCCCATGTAAATTTACCTGTTCAATGTCCTTTTACTACTTATTTAAGTTTCTTAATTCCCGTGAAATTTCACCAAAAGGGACTATCATTGAGGGACGAAGGGAGTAAATCTTATCCATTTTATGATTTTGTGCAGCCGAATTAATCCTTTAGAAAGAAAAGTCAAAGGAGAAAAGATTTAGTAGATTTCCTTTCTGTACTGCCATATTATTTTGTATTCTATAATATATGTTCTCATGTTGTAGAGGTGAATGTTTCTACTGAAGATATGTTATAATGTTGGGTCACTTCTGTAAGGGTGCTTTTCTTTCTACGTTTCAGGGTGTAGTGAATGTAGTCATGGGAAACGCTAAAGAAATCGGGGATGCTTTACTGGCCAGCACACAGGTTGGAATTCTGATAAAGGATTTTTGTGTTTTTCTTGGTATTTGTTGTTACTGAATTTATGATGATGCTTGTTATTTTGTAAGGTGAGAAAAATCACATTCACGGGTTCAACTGCTGTGGGAAAGAAATTAATGGCTGGTTCAGCCAATACTGTAAAAAGGGTACGGTTAAATTTTTATTTTTGTGTGTTTTGGATTTTTATGTTGATATTTTTATAATCTCCATTATTTATGTTAGTTATCCCTGGAACTTGGTGGCAATGCACCCTGCATAGTGTTTGATGATGCAGACTTGGATGTGGCAGTGAAAGGAGCTGTAAGAATAAATTATTCTTTGTCATTTTAATCTTTATTTTACAGAAGTTGCATATTTTATCCAAACAGTAAAGATACATCTATCTCTTTTCTGCTGGAATTGGTTACTGATTTTGAGGCCTTTTTAGATTCCTAGAAACTTGGAAAGAGTGATCTACATGTGTTGCAAGGAGTACAAAAGGGGTAAAGTGGGTCCGATAGGTGCTTTAACTCAATATGTTGTAGGGTTTTGAAGCAGCTGTTTAGCCAACCAATGAGTGCCACAGGATTCATTCTTCGATCTGAACCAAGCAGAACTTGACTCACTGGATTAAGTAGATTCTCTATAATCTAGGTCTCAGTAGACAGAAATAGTCTGGTAAAGCTCTAAGAGATTGTTTTCGTATCAGGTTTTCTGATTTTTTTATGCTTTGCTTTGGTGGGCCTCTTATTTGTCTAATCTACTCACTCCGTTTCCGAAAGTTCTTAACATATACTATTTGCACACAAATTTATGTAATTGAAGAGAGAGTTTTGATGTGGTAAGTGGATGTAAAAAAAGGTTAATAAAGTAAGAGAGTTTGTTAAAACGTGGGTCTATGTAAGAAAAAGTAAGACAGAAATCTGAAATGTGTAAATATTGTGGGAAAGTGGAAATTTGTAAATTAAGATAGATTTGGTAGATAAATTTAGTGAGAAATTGGAAATGTGTAGATATTGTGGGGTAAGAGGGGTGAAATAATAAAAGGTAATTACCTGCTATCTCTCTCTCTCTTCTTGTTAATAATTGTCCTTAGACTCCTCACCCATGTGCAAAATTTTGCCTTCTTAAATAAGTGAAAAAATAGGGGCTTGGAGCATTCATTTAGGGCTGGAGGGAGTACAATATTGGTGTAACTAGCTAAACAATCCCAAGTCCTTAACCAAAGCAACTTCCTTCTTTGTCTCTCTCAGTCCATCCATTTCTCCCTCCCTCTTTTACAGTATTAGGATAGGAGGAAAGTACTAAAGATCTCTCTCAATGCTAATTTCAATATCAAAACATAGTATATTTTCCCCTTCCTTTTTAATTAGGCATTGAAAATTGTAGATCTAGGTGAGAAGATGGGATGAAGTATGGAATTCAGTATTGAATATACATAACTTGATTTTTGCTTTAGGTATAAGGGTGAGAAAGGAGAGAAGAAGAGAAAAAAAAAAAGAGTAAATGTTTGGCCAATGATTTGTCAAAAGGGTTGTGAGGTGTGTAGTAAAATTGTTTCTTTCATGTTTTGAGACTTCAACATCATCACAATAGCTTCTCCAAGCACCAAAGGAAATAAATCACAAAAGAGAAGTCATGGGATGTGATTTGAATTTAAGCTAAGATTACTTGCCACGGTTTTAGTATTGGGAAAAGGCGAAGTAAGCATGCTTTTAAATTAAATGGCAAGAAGTTTTCATGCATATAAGACTCTCGATTTGCGAAATCGTCGTCGTTTGGAGTGAAGTTTAGATTTCCTATTTCCAGGAAATTGTGTGAAATATCATCACAATCCAGTTCCTTTAAATCAATGTCCTAATCCCGCTCCTCTAAATCGTGGCTCTCACTATTAGTCCCACAAAGTTAGCGTTCTTTCGAAAAATTCTTCTACTAAAGAACTATAGAAAAATGGTGAAATTTTCTAAAGAAAACAAGGCCTCTTTGGCCAAGATCGAGAAGTACTTAGTGCTTGGAAATGATGATCTTCCTCCTAGTACGGTACGAGAGTTGGTTCAAACGAAATGAATGGAATTATTCAGAGTCTTGTGGGAAATTAAAGGGAAATGTTTAGTTCTAATGAAACTGACAGGATCTAGTCGTATCACCTAATCAAAAGTAATTCCTAAACCGTTAGCTAAAATAGATAGGGAAGTAGAGTCGAATCCATAGGGAAACAACTTTCTTCTATTCCTAACTAAATATTATAATCTAAATTATCAAGAAACAAATAAGGTTTGTATGAATTTATCTAAGGGAATAATCAATAATAAAAAGCCTAGGGTCACAGGTTCACCAATAATTAATACTCCGGGATAAAACAAAATAATCAACGATTGACATTGCAAAAATAACATGACTAACAGGTTTATTAATCAACATAGATCTAATAGGCTCTCGCAATTTACTAGACCTAAGTTCCTATTGAAAATAGCCTTGAATATCAAATTAACATCTGCTCGATTCATCAATTCAATATTGATACACTTTCATTATCAAATCACATCTACTCGATTCATAATCCAATTGCAAAGAATTAAAACAATTCAATAAGAAATTATCATGTAATATCAACAATAATAATTTATCCCTTAATATTAATTATGGATCCCCCCAGAACCCTAGAAATTAACTACTGACACATATTTAAATCTAAACTAATCAAAGCATATATATAAGACATGATTGAAACCAAAGCACAAAAATAGCAAAGCGATTAAAATCAAAACGATAAACAAAGCATTAAAAGAGACGAGAAATAATATCGAATGAAGGAAATATGAATTTGCACTAAAAGAGGAAAAACTTGAGTTCAACAATAATCTCTCACTAAAATCTCTCTAAAAGTTTAAGAATGAAAATTGTAATCTAAAAACGTAGCTAATAAAGCTTACAAAAGAGCTTAAATACTAAACCCCAAAATAACCAAAACGACAAGTCCTAAACACCTCTGGAAAAACTCACGCCTGATTGGGCGCAGGGCCGCCCGATCGGGCTCGCCTTTTTCTTCACATTGCTTTGCTGAGCATCCGCCTGATTGGGCCCGGTCTTTTTCTTGGCCAAGTTCCCTTTTTCTTTTCCTTTGGGCTCTAATTACTTCTGGCCCAAATTTTCTTCTTCCTTGGTCGGGGACCAATTCCACGAACCAAGCCTTTAATCACCAAAATAATCGGTCTTGGGCTACAAGAGACGGTCACGAATGTGATCATAAGCTTCGATATCTCATAGTGGCCGGAAAACCATTAAAAATCACCTAACAATCGGGAAATTCCTACAAAATAGATGGCAACTCTACAAAACACTCGAAACCACACATTAGTACTAAAAATAGCCCCGAAGAGCTCAAATATGCTTAAAAATGACCGTGGGACGGGGGATAAAATAGCATATAAAACACATGTATCAGGAACTCCTTTGTACAAGGAGAAGGAATTTGAGATGGATGCGGAATTGAAGTATTTAAGGGAAGAACTCGCTTTTCTTCGTAAGATGATTGAAGAGAAGACATCTCCATACTCATCGGAAGATCGTACGGAGGTCCCTGAACCGAAATCATTCGATGGATCTAGGGTTTTAAAGACCCTAGAGAATTTAATTTGGGATTTGGAGCACTATTTCAAAGAGACCAATCAGGGAGTTGGCGGTGAAGTTGTGGCCACACTATATGTTTCTGGGGATGCGAAGCTATGGTGGAGGTCTCGTTAAGAAACAAATAGGGTGGTGCAAGAGATACTCCTAGGTGTCCAGTGGTGGTCACGTATGCAAGGAAGAAGCATGGCAAAGGCAGTAAAACCAATTAATAATGCAAGGGCAGGGGAGTCATTAGCATTTATAATTTTGTTAGGGCAGTTTGTTTTAGAGAGAAGAATCTATTAGCGAGTGGTTAGAAGGCTAAGTTTATCTAAGGGAGGGAATTCAATTGTAATAATCATGCCAAAAATATTGTTAAGCTTTGCTTACTTAGAGAGCTCCTTTCCTCTCAAATGAAAGGGTGCATTGAGGGATTATACTGATCATCAATACAATCTATCCCCCTCTTTCTTCTCTAATTGTTGTTTGTAGTCTGAGTTTGCTACCAGGTGTTCTGATTCCTAGCAGATTGGTATCAGAGCCACACGATTCCGGCGACGGGTAGATGGCTCTTATGAGCAATACTCAGAGGATCGAGTTGCTGGAGTCAGAGATCTCCTCTGGACTCTAAAATCACACAAGCGTTGACAAAGGCTATGGATGCGATGGAGCAACGCTTCAATGCTCAACTAAACATTGGGTTGGAGCGAACTGCACGACAGTTCTGTGCCGATTTGACAGCCCTCTTTCACCACGTCGACGCGAAGGTGGCACGTCCGGTAGGAGAAGCGGCGGTTGGCCCCTCCCGGCCACTCACGTTGGATCGCAGCAGTGAAAGTGTGGTGGATGTTCTTAGGGTGGGTGCTGCCAGACCCTTCGAGAAGGAGAATGGTGGTTTTGATGATGGGCTTATCGGAGGTGCTGGTGCAAATTGGAGGATGAAGAAACTCGATCTTCCATCCTTTGATGGCACCAATCCCGATGGTTGAATCTTGAGAGTTGAGCGATATTTTCACTTTATCGCCTCAGTGGAGGCTGCGGTGGTGGCTCTCGACGGAGATGCGCTGTTGTGATTCTAGTGGGAACACGCCGTCAGAGAATCACTCGATGGGAGGAATTGAAGGGGTTGCTCTTACAGAAATGTGAGCAATTTGGCTGGCCCATCAGCAACTCTCAATGTCAGTGGTGGAGTATAGACGCCAATTCATAGAGTTGCTGGCTCCACTTGAAGGTGTACCAGAGCTATAGCAAAGGGTCAGTACTTGAATGGATTAAATGAAGACATGGGCTGAGGTTCGTTTTCTGAGGCCCATTAATTTGGATGATGCAATGGATTTGTCGCTGAAAGTGGAGGAGAAATTTCGAGTTGGGCCCAAATATCGGACTTAACCTAGAACCCAAACCCAGACCACATGGAAACCAAATACTTACCCCTCTTTTAAACAGAACCTCACTCATACCCAAACCAATCAGCCACCCTCTACCCCAACCACTCAAACACCCACCACCACAAAAAAATCCCTAGAACCCGATAAGTGAAAAGGAGGTGTAGCAAAAGCGAGAGCAGGGGCTCTGCTATCGTTGCGATGAGAAATGGAACCTCAACCACCATTGTAGGAGGCGTGAGTTGAGTGTTCTTTTGACTTTTGATGAGGAGGAGGAGTTAGAGGAGGGTAATGAGTTGTCCATGGTGGAAACCCACTTCGAACTAC